TTATATTGTATTTGTATATACATTTCTGGTCTCGTAGTTACTACGATTTATAATTAAGTTTAAATTGAATCAGACCCAATAATGATCGTCTCTTTCACCCAGTGACGTAAAGACAATACGCAAAACGTGTCTGACATCTAGCGGTTCTTAACATAAAGAAAGCAAGCCCATGAGACGAACAAAATTGCTACTGTCTTCAAGGTCTCTATTATAGACATAAACTTGTGCATTCCGTTACAAATAGGATATTATAGCGTGACGCTTCGAAGGGGAGGGGATGATGATCTACTTCCTGTGTTCTGACACGTGATGTCCTTAGTTGTTGCGCACGTGTACTTGGAATGTGAATTTTACGAATGCATGTAAACAAAACACTGGCGACAGGCGATAGCGTGTTAGCTTTATATTGGCTTACGGGCCGGGGAAGTACTCGCTTTTCGCATGAAGCCTTGTTCATTGTTAAAGTAGCGCCTTGAGTTAAAGAGGACATCAAGGAACAATCGAAGCGATAGTGACCTAATCGAAGTACTATCCTGGTATCTGGGCCGCACCATAGCTCCAGCGGTTAGTCGCTGGCTTTCCACGGCGGCGGCCCGGGTTCGATCCCGGGGTCTGGTCAAGTGGGATTTGTCGTGGACAAAGTGGCGCTGGGGCAGGTTTTCTCCTAGTACTTCGGTTTCCCCTGCCAATCTTCATTCCACCAATTGCTCCACAGTCACCCTCGCCTAACATCTGAGGCTGGTACAATAGGCCAGAAGTGGCCGCAGTACAAGGGACTTAGTCCCACCTCACTAGCAATAAAAAAATCCTGGTATGTGCCTGGTGGCACTGAGAAAAAACCATTAAATCTCTGGAAGTAAAGCTAGTATCCCAGTTGAGATTCGAACCCGAATAGAGTGAAAAGCATTATTGGTACTCCACCCCATACGGTTTCTGCCTTACCCTTTCGAACAAACAAAGCCTAAGGGCTGGACAACATGGAGGGCTTGTAGCAAAATAATTACCCAAGTTTCATTCTAGGCAAATGTTACGTCACTGAAATTATAATCGCGTTCGTGAAAACAACTGAAATCGTATTGAATGATTAGCTAACCGGCGTAGTGAAAAATTTTGCTTACCATCGCTACTCGGTCAGTCAGTCACTCTTCAAGGATTGAATTTCTGTGTCTCGGAAAACCGCAGAAACCAACAGAACGGAAGAGAGATCCCGGTATTTTATTGGCTTCAAATGAAGAAAGTGTTACCCACTGAACATCGCAAACGGATTGTCACCTAAGTGTACTCTTAGTTCGCGCTGGGTATGACTCGACCGAATTAAGCTGAGTAATGAAAAAATTTGTTAACTCAGTGACTCACAACTTTTCAAGTTCATATAGTTCCATAATCACGAAATCGTGATTTCAAAATGTCTGCCAATATCAATATTGTATAAGAGAGGAACAATAGTGACATAAACCGAATTGATTGGCATTGTGGCAACGTTATAGACTCCTATTTGGGAGGTGCCGGGTTCGAATCTCGGTAGAGATACCGATTATCTTAGGGGTTTCTTTGTTTTCCTCGATTACTCCTGGAAAATACATCGATTAGAACACGGTAGCTTGTTTTTAAATCCTTTCCATTTCATCTGTAATCCTATCAGTATATGCTGTATAGTCTTGTTACTGGCAGCATCATAAAATAAACAACAGTTAATAATATACAGTGAGATCTAGAACAATATTTAACCTAAAAGAAATCTAGTTGAAATATCGATGGAGTTATTATTACTTAAGAAAGTCCGTTGTTGACATAAATAATCCCTGTCACCTTAAGTAAGCTTAAAACCCCGCTAATACACCATCAGCATGGAGAATTACTTTTGCACTTCGCCTAGAATTCAGTGAAACTCTAGGACGAATCTATATCTAGCTTTTACTGTCACATTATACCCCGTCTGACTAGAGAGTGCTCATTTCGGTCAGGTCGCTAGCGAATCTTGATTTCTCTACGTAGTCTACAGAAGGAAAAAGAGGCTGCACGGAAGAGGTTCCATTTTATAGTCTATCAAATTATATTATCTGACGTCACCAATCAACATGAAAGAGTTTCGGAGTTCTACCACTGGAACTCATTTCTCAGATGTGTTATAAGCGAACACAGCCAAACACTAAACCGCAGTACGTGTTTAGGCATTTCGTAACAGAAATGAAAATTCTCGTGGAATGTAACTGAACACGATATTAGGTGTTTATAAAATGTGTGAACATTTCTCTTTTTGAAGAAAGTCGTCTTCTGGGTTTAGGCGCCGTGTATTCTTCGTTTTGGCCTACGTTTCGGAGGAACGTATCGCCTCCATCTTCAGAGCCCCCTGCCTACTTCGTATATAAGCAGCGCCTTTCATTTCCTATCACTACAGCTACTGCTCTCTGCATTCCAAGCCATTCAACTGCTCTGAAGATGGAGGAGATACGTTCCTCCGAAACGTCGGCCAAAACGAAGAATACACGGCGCCTAAACCCAGAAGACGACTTTCTTCATAGTCATCGCCGTGAAAACCTCAAAACTTACATTTCTCTTTTTCTTTTTATTTTGACGACTTCACGATTAATGGTCGCACATAGGCACGCAGCCAAATGAAATAACGGGAAAACAGAAATACGTTTGTGAATGACATAATTTATAGTTAACCAACTAATTCAATGGAGCATGGCCCTTTCGGAGAGGCAAATACATAGCAGCCCACCCGGCGCCGGTTGCAGGAAGAATGAAACCTCGTAATATCCCGCAAATTGCTCGCGGGTTTGGAAGAAAATCATAAATATTCATGATAGTTCGTGTCCTTGCTTAGGTTCGAAACTTATTCTATTTGTAACAACTATAACACGAACTTCGATTAACATGAAGTGCATAAAACAAACGCTAAATGGCGATGTAGCTTATTTTTTTGGTCTGTCCGCATGTTTTATCTTCCAGAATACTGAAGAAAATTTCAACGAAATTCGCGATTCGTGGTCTGCATTAAAAAGTGTGGCGAATGTTATTTCTGTTCATGCTGGTCTCGTCTAGACCGCAACTTTGCATAAGGCTCAACAGGCTCGTTGTACAACATATTTTTAGTTAACATAATATATGTATCTTATTAAACATCAAGCATTTTCCAAAGTTGTGAGCATTATGGACACCGACCATGTCTTTTTTTTTCAGGGCGTGGGGAATCTGTAAATTAGCTTACGTCTAAGCCGTTTAAACTGATTTTCAATGATCACTCAAAAGTGTTCTAAGTAGGAGAATAATTTTGAAAAAAATAATCTTAATATTTATTGTTAATATTTGGTATATTTCCTTCATAATATATACTCTTCACCAAGTATAATTAGAATCTCCAAAGTAAGGAGGATGATATGGGCAGGGCATATAGCACGCATGGGAAAAAAGGAATTCATGCAGGGTTTTGGTGGGAAACACAGAAGGAAAGAGACCATTAGAAACATCTAAACGTAGTTGAGAGGATAATATTAAAATTTATTTTAGAGGAATAAGATGGGGTGGTATGGGCAGGATTAATCTGGATCAGGATACGGACCTGTGGTGGGCTTTTGTGAACCCGGTAACGAACCATTGGGTATTATAAAATTTTGGGAAAATTCTTGAGCGGCTGAGCCACTAAAGAAGGACCCTGCTGCATGGTGTGTTAGTGTTTTTTTATTGCTACTGGGGTGGGACTAAGTCCCTTGTACTGCGGTCACTTCTGGCCTATTGCACCAGCCCCAGATGATAGGTGATTGTGGAGCAATTGGTGGAATGAAGATTGGCAGGGGAAACCGAAGTACACGGAGAAAACCTACCCCAGCCCCACTTTGTCCACCACAAATCCCACTTGACCAGACCCACGATCGAACCCGGGGGGCCGCGGTGGGAAGCCAGCGACTAACCGCTTGAGCTATGGCGGCCTCCACGTGTATGTTAGTTACTCAGTTAGCTAACACAGTTCCTATTTGTTTTCGATTTTGATGTTTCCAAAAATTCAAAAGCGGCAAATGCCTGATTTCCCTCACAACCCGATAACCGTGGTGAGTATGTAACGGAATATACGGAAAAATAATTTTACGCTCTTTAGTCTATAGTGATTTGAGGTTATATCAATCGATTTCATAACATCGATAATTTAGTGCGAGTAAAAAACAACGTGTACAGTAACAGAGGCAATAAAATCGAAACAAGAAATGAACTTAACGAACTCTATCCGTTATACATATTTAAATTAATTCTGAGTAACAACAGTGTTTCATTTTGTTATCACCAGGCTGTTGTAAGGGGCACACAGTATGCTACAAGCCGGAAGGTCGCTGGTTCTATTCCCGATGAGGTCATTGGGATTTTTCAATTGACCTAATCCTTCCAGCCGCACTATGGCTCTGGGGTCGACTCAGCCTCTAATAGAAATGAGTACCAGGAATATTCTTAGGGGTAAAGGGCGGCCGGCGCGTAAGGCTGACAACCTTACCGCCATCTGTGAGCCGATTGTCTAGAAAATGTGGGAGCCTCGACGTCTCACATCCCTATGGGCCTCCACGGCCTCTTGCAAGGATAGCTTTACCTTGTTTACTTATACTAGACTTTTACGAGTTCAGCGACTGTGTGTTCTCCACTAATGGATCTGTATAGAAGAACATGATTGGCAATGAGATAGTATGCAAAGGGGCAAGGGAAACAGTGGATTATACCATTCGACTCTTGTTAAAGACAGCGGTCCAAAACAGCGTCATCCTAAGTCTAGTTACATACCAATTTGCGTACTACGAAGTCTGGAATGCAGTTGACCCATTTGTCTTGTTTTGGTTTTCTTTTTTGTTCTGTGGATTTCTTTTTATGGTCACATATAAATTCCTCATTTGTATTCAGTGTCGGGTTTTGATCACTCGAGAAAGTTGAAGCGTTCTGGAGATCCACCGTTCAGGACCAGTGGACGGGATACAGATCTGTTTCCACTGTGTGTTTATCAAATTAAATTCATCCCAAAACTATCTTCTTGCGTGTTCGAATTCAGATTCACGACTCTTGAAAATAATATTACAGTGTTATTACTATATGAACCGGGATAGCTCAGTCGATATAGTGACTGGCTACGGGCTGGAGGACCGAGGGATCGGAGTTCGAGTCCCGGTAGGTTAAATAATTTTCTCTTCTCCACTTCGTCCAGACTGGCTCTGGGGTCCACCCAACCTCCTATCCAACGGGTACCGGGGCTGTTTCCCTTGGGATAAAGCGGCGGGGGCGTGAAGCTGAACACTCACCTACAACTAGTGCCAAGGTCAATAAAATGAAGATCTATACATCCACTTCCCCATACACCTTCATGGCGAAGTGCTCAATTAGTTAAGCACAGGGACTCTGGGTATTTCAAGTGGTCTTTCCTTCTGATATTCCTACAAAAACCCTGTATTTCCGCGTGCTTGAACAGAACATAAAACTGCTATCGGTACCATATGCCCAAATTCGAATGAAACTGTAACCTCAAGAAGAATCGCGCCCAAAATTTTGTTTCATGGATTACTTAATGACACTATGCGAAATGCATACCTTTGCCTGTGGTAGTTCGACTGTAACTGATGCACTGAGAAAACGTGGAAGTAATAGAATGTAATAAAGTTCGTTGTGCTATTCCAGTATTTGCATTTGGAGAGACTGAGGAAAGCCATAGAAAAGGCTTCAGGAAGGATGACTCGGTGACAGAATTCTAAATCAAGTTTCCTCTAGTATGAAGCAAGAATGGAAATCGTTAAATTATGCAAATCTCACTTTCAGACTTGCAGATTATAATAGTGGGAATTAGATAGTTTTATCATGATACGTAATAGTTTCCGTATCCAATCAGTTTTGATCCTGGAACCACGTGAGAATAAGCTATAACGTTGAAACAATTCGAAAACATTACGCTGCAAAACACGAAAAATCCGAAATCACAGGTACATTATTAATTGTGTGTGAGTTAGAATAAATTCCAAACATTGGGTGTGACGTACCAAATGACAAATTAAAATATTAATTTAGTTTATGTTGAAACTTTTCATTGCAGGTACGTACAGATTTCAAGGAAATGTATAGCAAAATTTGTCATTGATTGTCATTAATATTGTTATTTATTTGTTCTAATTGTATGGGAGAAGAAAATCATAATAACTTTGATTATATGCTTCTTAAAACAGAGTTATTCAAACCGGATTGTGAGAGGTGTGCAGTGACGTAATATAGCGGGAAGGGGAGTATAGGTGACCAATCAACTGGCTGGAATCTGGTGCCTGATGGATCGTCTGCTTGTTCAGCAGCAGTTCACCTCACAGTTACCTGAGGGCGTAACATTTATGCAGGCCTTCGGTTTGCACTTTGATACCAGTTTAAATCAGCGAGCATTTGTGCCTGTAAAATTCAGTATTCTGCCTTTTATAGTTAGCTGGTTCAGTTGTTTTGAACCAATCTTCTCAGTAATATAGTGTGATACATCTTCCAGTGCAACAGAAAACATTTTTGCGAGACATTGCTAGTCTGTTGTTTAGATGTAGTTATTTCAAGTGTGTGAAATTGGTCCTATATATGAGGCAATAAAAGAGGTTAAGAACGCCCTTTCAACTATATATGAATCTCACGTCTAGAAATTGTGCTGCTGTTTCCATAAAGTACAAGTCTTCTGCTACCGGTGTGTAATTCAATTACATCATCAAGTCCTCCGATAAATCCAGTATCATGAGAATGAACCGACCGATCATCTTGGTAAGTACTGTTAAACAACATGTAACATTTTAGAGTTTATAATATACTGCGACAGACATAGAGCTAGTAATTGTTATTCAGTTATTACAATAGGAGCTACAACGTAAAATTGTTAGCCTGATATATACGCAGTCAAACTGTGGCTCGCGATCCACATGCGTTTTTTAACCGCTTGAGCGTCTGGGGAAGGAAAATATTAGTCAATTCCTTTTTATTGTTAAGTGGATTAGATATATAAACTGCTGCATGGAAAGCATGTACTTAAACTTTTGTGCAATCCAATCCATAATTGTTTCCTTTCTACAGAACTTTTGAAAAATAAAGTATGCTGCTTCGACTTTCAGTAATTTTGCCCACACCTGGTGTTAAATAATAGGTATATGATAGTAAAGTAAGGGCAGATCTTTACGATAATTAGTTGGGCTCTCACTAAGGAATTTTTGTTCTTATATTTCGATGTTTTGAAGCCATTTACAAATACCGTCATGTTACGTTTTAAAAATATGTTTATGTGTTTTAAGCATGAGTTTTTAGTACTCTAACGAATTCTAATTAAGTGACAGGTTAATTTATGTAATTTATTTTTCCTCCGACTCTACGTTATGTTTATATTTTATGTGGTGAACGTAAACAAAACACATTATGATACAAATATTTGACGGTGGACGAAATGTATGTTAAATAATACCGGTATATGGTCGCCGTATTGCAAAATTGTACAAAGGAAGAATTCTTACAGATTAAGTTAAAATGCATATCTACGAGTAATAACATTGTATGAGATAGAATAATATATCAGATCGTTTCCTTTTTTCTATATTAATGTACCAGATGTGTTTCACTTAAGTTATATATAAGCATACTCTACTGGAGGTAAATAGTTTAATTGTGGTATATCTGCTTACTCAACATTTTCATCGTAAAGCATAATTTTCTTTTAAGCTTTGAATGTTGTTGCCGCATATTCAAACCTATTTACTTCTAATTATATTTATATTTAAGATTTGATATCTTCAAGGCTTACCTTACCTAATTGAGCACTACGTCATGAAGACGTATGGGAGAGTGAATATATAGATCCACATTTTCTTGGCCTCGGCACTAGTTGGAGGTGAGTGGTCATCTTCACGCCTCAGCCTCTTTAACCCCGGGGAAGATCCCCCGGTACCCATTGTATGGGAGGCTTTGTAGGCCCCCAGAGGCGGTTTGGACAGCGTGGAGAGGAGAAAATTCTTGACCCTACCGGGACTCGAATTCCGACCTCTGGTCGTCCAGCCCGTAACCAGTCGCTATACCGGCTGCGCTATCCAGGCTCCCGATCTGACTGACTGTTAAATTGCTACTGGTCCATTTCAGCAGATGAATGATTTGGAAGAAAGCGAAGCGATCGTGGATTAATCGAGGGGCTCTCCTGGCTTTTGTTTGGATTGACTGAGGAGAAATGCAAAAACTGCACGATAACTTGTGTTTCTCCTGATTCGAAGAACACAACTCCAGAATATGTATCAGGGTTACCACTACGAAAATGGATTTTTTTTTTCTTTTAATTAACCGCGTGTGCAGCTAGTCTGAACTTTTGGCGCGTGAATATCGAGAGAAACGAGGAATGAAAAACTTAACAGATCTCGATTGAAATTTATGTACAACTTAACTTCACGTTGAAGTAGTCTCTTCCACTGTTGATTAATGTTACCGGCCTATTGTTTTGGAAAAACATGGCTTGTCTCAAACTGAAGGAACATGAATACCACAGCTGCTCTTACCGCTAAGGTGATTATGAAAACACTCCACTTCTCTGGACACGAACTGTGTTTGCATTACCGGTTTGAACCCCGTTGCTGCGCGCAAGAGAATGATGAAGCAGACAAGGGCCACCTGTCCGACAGTGTTCCATCACATCTGCTTTGGATTAAGGAAGCTCTAAAAAGAAGGATAACTGGACTTAAACAATTCGAATTTCCCAATTTCAGGTTAAAGTGTTTTCATGTAAAGAAAAATCGTTTCATCCCGCCTACAAAAAAATGGAAAACATTCAAAGATTGTTAAACATGGGAAAAGATAAAATATAAACTAACTCAACTGATGTCATGGAGCTGAGCCCTTCTGAGAAGCCGTAAATTCTGCAGCTATTCAAGAAATTCCCAACATTTTATTGAACTCGAAGGTTCATTACCGTGTTCACAAGAGCCCTCCACTGGTCCCTGTCTTCAGCCATATCAATTCAGTCCATACCATTCCTTTATAATATTATCCATCCCGACGTCTTGGTCTTCATAGTGGTCTCTTTCCTTCTGGCATTCTCACCAATATCCTATATGGACTCATCTTCGACCCCATTCGTGCTACATTCCATGCCAATCTCATCCTCCTTGAAGGACAAAATATGTTTCTTTAATTAAGATATCTACATTTTTAATTTTGAGGAAACTTTTAGCCTAAATTTGTTGAAATTACTAAAAGCATTTTAATTTAATTATTTTAATGAAGACCGAAAAATTAAGAAATATTTTCTGGGGTACTGTATTCCGAGATGTACCGTAAGCAACCCAGAAGAAACTAGAACTAAACTTGCTGTTGCTTCGGTTGCGCCTTTTTTTGCCTGCAGTATTCCTCGACCCTGAAGATGGAGGCAATGTTACCTCCGAAACATGCCAGAAAGTACTTTACGTAGTGAAGGCTGTCTCAGATCCAACTCAATGAATTTACTTTTGTAAAACTAAGGACAGGATTAGTGAATTGTTAAATGGTATACACATTGCAGTAAAAGGTAAAGTTTTCCACGTGCTTAATTCATCAAGCACAATGTCATGAAGACCCCAGAGCCGTTCTGGATACTGTGATATAGAAAACATCTAACCCCTCTCGGGACTGGAACCTCGGTCGTTCAGCCCGCAGCTATACCACTAAGATCTCCTGACTCGAAAAGGAACATGTAGGTAGTTGAGGGCCGCTCCATAGCTCAGGCGGTTAGTCGCCGGATTTCCACCGCGGCGGCCCGGGTTCGAGCCAGGGTCAGGTCATATGGGATTTGTGGTGGACAAAGTGGCACTGGGGCAGGTTTTTTCCCAGTACTTTGGTTTCCCGTGCCAATTCTCATTCCACCAATTGCTCCACAATCATCATCTTCTATCATCAAAGGCTGGTACAATAGTCCAGTTAGTGGTCGACGTACCAAGTGGACTCGGGCTCATCACATCTACNACAAAACAAACTCCATGGTTTTGGTCAGCAAGCGAACTATACCGACCGAGCGACCGCCGCTTGTCGGCGAAGTTGATGCCAACTTTAACGGATATAGAGTGTCGCGTGGTCAGCGTAACGAATCCCCACGGCCGTTAATGTCGGTTTTCTAGACCGGAGCCGCCATTTCCTTGAAATATCTCCTCAGTTATCCTCACGAGGCTGAGTGGACCCCATTCCAGACCCACTACTCCTCAGAAAATCTGGTAGCCCCGGGAATCGAACCCGGACCCCTAGATCTGTAGCCACAGAGGCGGTCTCTCATCACATCTAAGAAACTAAAATAAAAATGTAGCTTATGTCCCTGCCAAAATTAGAACCGAAAGCCTCCAGGATACAGGTATAGAACTTAACCGCTGTGTCAGACTGCTCAGTGGGTTTGTTATGAGTCAAGAATGAGACAATGAAGCAGAGAGATAGATTTAATGAGCCAGTTAACAATGAGATAACGGTCGGTCTATGCATCTGAGGTTCGGTTTTTGCAGGTCGAATGGTTCGTTATTTTCTCCTTTCTCGTTGTGGCCGAGAATGATAGCGAGGATAAATTCTGCGGCCTTTGGAGTCCATACTCTCTGATGCGTTTCAGCATGCCGGGTGTCATAATCAGATTCTTACGTCATATAAACACTGCATTGTTTCCTGAGCGGTCACACTTCATTCTGAATGTCTATGGAGTGCATGCAAACAAAGGGAGGCAGGTGTCAGAACAAGTTAAAAGCGTGGTTGAATAGTTATATCCTCTTAGGTATAACACTCTGTAGTCCGTTGAAAGTCAACCGACGTTTCGGGGGAACATTGTGACGTGATAAAGTGTGGCTATAGACGGGTTTTGTATTGATGACTCGATTTATTGCACGTGACTACACTTTTTCCCCCCCTTGGCACTACAGCTCCAGTGGGCCTACGCCTACCTCCATGAACTTCTCCGTTCACTTCGGTTTTTCTAGATCTTACACATACGGTAGGACTCCTTGGGCGAGTGATCAGCTCGTCGCAAGGCCTCTACCTGTAGACAAACACAGAAAAACGCACACAAACATCCATGTCCTGAGTGGGATTCGAACCCACGATCTCGGCTTCCGAGCGAGCGAAGACAGTGCATGCCTTAAACCGCTTTGGCTACCGTGACCGGCTGACTACACTTTACAGTTCCCTATTACACGTACACTAGTGTCCACAATTATGTTTTCGCTGCCGTTGCTTCGTAGCGACTTCCAACAGCAGGCGATTCCCTTCCTCTGTGTTCCAGAACCATCTCCGGCCTCAGCTACCAGCTTCTAACAGCAACAGCTCACAGCGAATGAACCCCAACAGTCCTCTGACTGCAGCTCAAAGTCAAAGTCAAAGTCAAACTCAAAGTCAAATTGCGTCTGAAGGTCAGTCAGTCAGCCAGTCAGTCTTGGTGTTGAGCCTAATCTGGGGCTTATGACCAGATATTTATTACTGTTTGACAGTTACAGTCTTGTTGTTGTGATGCGCCCTATCTGACGAGAGGACGGGTCTGTCTTGCTAACAGGACCTGGCTATAACACCGGGCACGGACCGCGTAGAAAACGTCTATGCCATTATTGCTGTATTCTCTCGTTGCCATGGAAACATACTTTTTTCGCGGAGCCGTTACTTGGCAACGGCTATTGTATTGCTCGTTTCGCGATCGTTGACTAGCAACGAGTCTACAACAACAATGTGGTGCTGGTTTAGGAAAGGACAGAGGAGAAGCTGTACGGGTGTGGTGGAGAGGGAACAGAGAAATATGGGAG